AAGAAAAAGCAAGATTTTTTATAAAAATGCAAAAAAAATGAAAGAACAATACATGTACATATATAGGTCCTATCATTTTGGTACACATCCTACATTAGATGATTTATGAGATGCATCACCTGATATGATTTCATCTAACTTAAATTTATAGGGTCTGAAAGCTTCTTGTTTGTGGAATATATTGTACTCACTGCAGCCCAATGACTTTGCACCTGGAATGCTTGGTCATAATTGTGATTAAACTGAATGCACAGTGATTTCAGCTGGAACTAATGCTGGTATTGTCTGATGTTTCTCCATATCTGCATATCTTGGCAAGTGATTTTCAGTCTTTTCTCCGACAATTGAGTCGATAATCGAAAACTGTGAACTAAAATTTGGAATTAAGAGATTTTCTTCCATAATTTCAACCACTAAATATTGCAAGATTTTATTGTGCAAGTTTGTAACCTATAGATTACTTTTCTCAACTGCGATAAAAAAAAACATGCAGACAGATGCACTTTTACTATTTCTTTTTTTTAAATCGATATTTAAATGAACATTAAAGAGGTAAGTTGCAAGAAAATAAAAACTTAAACACGTATAATGTTTCTTGACCCTCAGGCCCTTGTCAGTTTGCGGTGCCAATTCCATTGATCAGCTTGAAACAACAAACTCTGACTGCAGACATTTGGACTATATACACACAGTCAACTTTGCTTCTATCCGAGCGATCATTATTGAATTTCTTTTTCTTTTTTTTCTCCATCATTGATACCAAAGATTAACCCATCAATATCATTTTTACAGGGAACAGTGTATCATTTGCCCAGAGCCTTGCCTTTTTGACTTTATAATGTTGGTTCTGAGTGACCGGGGAGATTTACGTCCTTCGATTTCTGGTCCTCCCCAGCGGAAGAATGGATTCTACGACCATAAAACCGTATAGCTCTTTGCAGACATATAAAGCTTGATTAGACCCCAGAAAAAAATCAAACTAGTATATAATGGGAGATTTTATGCCCTGAAGTGTGTCAAGATTCCTGACAGACCAGGGTAAATAATGAGCTGACCTTTTCCTGGGGAAATCTTCGCAATGGGGATATTTAAAGTATAAGGTTTTAATATAGGGGCAGTTTATGTGGTCAGGGATTGCTTTAAAGATTTTTCCCTCTTCAAATGCAGAAGAACTTAATATTTGGCTGTAGAAAGTAAATGTGTTGTTTTTGCATTAAGCACAGAGAAATATATATATATTGGCATATTGCTTTCCTTGACCGTAATCTAGATTTTTTTTTTTTACAGAAACTGAACTTCCAATTAGACATATTTTGTGAGAATTTTGGAAAATGAAGTAAATTGAACATGAATGAAAGGGGAAGAAAAGTTATTATTATAAATTTGAGATGGGATATACAGTTGAACTTTGGTGTCTCGAACTCCGATATCTTGAATACCGTGGGTATGTCAAAGTGATATGGAAGTCCCAACCACATATTCTTTAAGTATTTAACCATCGATATCTTGAATCCTCGGATATCTCAAAAATTTTTCTCAGTCCCATTAGGTTCAAGATAACGAAGTTTGACTGTATATATAATATTATACAAATTTTTCTCCAAAAATTATAGATGGAACAAATTTGCCAGTTGGATTTGACCCTTTAGTTTAATTGATTTATATTGCATCTAAAACTTTTTTAGTGTACATAAATTCTTGTGATAAAGCATTCAATTTCATTGTGATATAAATATTATGAATGAAATACCCTTTTGCCTGCTATTTGGCAGCATATCATTTAGATGTTCACCCCTTTAAGCTGACTTTACATAGTTTGCTTTCCTTGTGACAGACCAATGCCAACTCAATTAATGAACACTAGCATTGGCAAATAAGGCAATATTTATCCTTAGCCAAGTCTGTTCAGTTTCCTCTCACAGCTTAAAGTGTAAGCTTTTCGTAAGGCACCAGGACCAATAGATGTAGCCTTTGGTCATTAGCTCTGATGCATAAAGCCATTGGTTAAGCTGACTATAGTCATGATAGGGGCTATAAGTATTTAACTCATCACATTGTAGAATTAGTGTCAGGCTGTCTGTTTTGAATATCAAATATCATGTAAGTGCATATGCAAACTGTTCAGTCTTTATTCAAAGGAAGTTTAGAAAAGATGTTTAATTTACACGGAATGTTACATATTAATTTGGATATATATGTGTGCGCATGTGTTAACTGTCTTGCCCAGTATGGTTAATTGATGTACAATGCGCATGATATTAAGGCATACAAGTTTAATTGTCAGTGTCGTAACTGAATTATCTTGCAACACACAGTTCGTTCTTTGAAGATTCCATAGCTACCTAGGCCCTGATTAGAGTTTAGAGTCATAGATTTCCTTTATTGGCATTTCTAAATGGGGAAGTACCTAAAATGATTAAAAAAAGAAGTTGGTTTGATATTAGATGAGTCGTGAATTTGTCTTTATAGTTTTATAGTTTCATGTGACAGGTAGATAAAGCAATGTCTGTCAGATTGTTTGAGCAGTCATCTGCCGCGAAGACCAGATCCTGATAGCACAAGTCTTGTGAGATACGTGTCTCTGTCATGACATCTCGTCATTTTAGAGGCTTTTTCTATCACATCACAGAAATAGATCACAATTATAGACACCATTGCATCGGCATCTTACCACAGTTTTCTTTAACAGTCGCATCGACAGCCGGAAATTCCTTAGCCGCAATGTTTATAGGGAAATTACACAACGAAATAGAAGTTTTTTAAATACAATTTTTCTGTATCTATTTTAAAATATATTTTTAGTTCTAAAATATATTTTTTCATGTGTGGGATGTGCATGGTCCATAAATTTGTGAATGTTTTGATAGAGAATTAAGGTATTTATTAAATTTCCTTGAAATCAATTATAATTGGAGTCTAGACTAGTAATTAGTTTGGATAGATTTCAGTTGTTATAATGTAGAGGAGGTAAAATGAAATCATGCCAATTTTCATTAAATGGAAGCAATTTGATATATATTGCACTGAAAGACCCATTTCTAGAAATTAAGATTTTTTAAAAGTCTATTTTCAACAGGAAATTTTGACATCCATTGTGGTAAACACAATAAGTTTGCACCAGAAAGTGTTCAATTAAAGTGACAGTCTATAAATATCTTGGAATAATCTTTAGTCCTAAATTAAATGAGATTTATTTACCATATATATCCTTGTAAGTGCACCTAGTATAAATGATGTATTCTTTCAGTCATATTTTATTTGAGAGGAATAAAAGCACCCTCCGATCAAGCAAAGCTTACTTAACTTTTTCTTGACTAACTAAAGTCATATGCTTGTTAATAATGTAAAGAAAGTCCCTTGATCTCTTAATGCAATAATTTTCAATTTTCATTGGGACCAGTGTGCTTACTAGGGCAAATATGGTAGCAGTTTAATATTAAATTTGGTGAAAACAGATGGTCTGGTGTAATATAACTCGCCACCTGCCAGTATCATTCTTAATACAGGGGACGTCCCTCATAAAACAGGACTATTGTCGGGAGAACTTGATAGCACATTCACTGAGAAAGAGGCGCCATAATTTGATGCCTCTATCAAGGAGTTTCACACAAAATTTATGAGATTATACCATGGGTACAGTAAGAAATTAATCTCCTATAAATTGCTGTGTCAGTACATCTTGTACCTCAGTTGAATGGGAGAGGTGACCCCTCTGGCAAATGAAGATAGTTATGAGAGCTATATGAACATTAGGAAAAAAAAGCTGTATTACAAAAATTATGTAATCATAACTGATCGGGGAGACTCATTTACTCTCTGAAGGCTATCTGATGAAATGATAAGATCAAATTTAGAAGGCCAATTATTTTAAATTTTTTCCGAGTGGTTCATATTTGTCTTTAAAAATTGTTTTCTATGATTTTTTTTTTCTACGGATGGGGGGAGGAGGGTGTTATACATTTACACATATGCTACCTTAATTAAAAAAAAACTTGAAAAAAAATTTAATATGCCTGATAATTTTAATTGTGTACAGATAGTATAGACATGTATACAATTGAACCTCATTATCTAAATCTCAATGGGTCCAAAAAATTCTTTGCAATATCCAAGGATTTGAAATATCAGGGGTGAATACTTGAAGAATTATAAGTGGACGAGACTTCCAAATCACTTCCACATGAACATGATATTCGAGATATTAAGGTTTGAGATATCAAAGTTTAACTGTATTATAAGCATTTGCTTCATTGCTGTTGGTAGCAAACCTTTAATACCATTCAGCCATTCTGTATAAATCCCATTCTTTGAGCATCAGGAAGATATAGATGAGTAGAGGGACATCATGCATGCACAGAGACGAGGAGTACAATTATCCATTATTACAAATTGCCTTCTGCCCATTAAGTGTCATCACAATAATTTATGGACATCAGTTGCCTCTATTGTTCAGCTAGTATTCCTGCTAAAAGGGGGACTGATAAAATCTTACAACCATTTGGAATTCAATAAAACCTCATCCTGGCTAGAGGCCCCCAGAAAAAGAAAATAAAAATATGGTGGAGCACAGGAAGTAGTCAGTGACAGTATTCCGATATCTGATGTTTCAGGGGCAATTAAAAATCCATTTCATGTCCTTATTGGCTTGTTAACTGTTTCTTGTATAATATTCTGTGGTAGTTCAATATTTAAAAATAAACTGAATATTTATAATGGTTTTTAAATAGTCATGTTATCTGTTTTTCTTCAAATTTTATTAACTCAATTATTGAATTAAAAAATGCTGAAATTATCTTTAAATTAATTAATTTAAGAATATATTTATACTAAACATTTGCATACAATGTATATCATTATTCTAAATAAGATAGAACCAAAAAATTTTTATATATTAATCGAGATACTGGGATACATACAAATCATGAAATTAATTTCCTAGCTGAAGGGAGGTAACTCTCCACTCTTCATGGCTATACATTTTCTGTTAATTATTTTTACAGGTGACCAAATAAAATTCCTGGAATCCCTTGCCGACCAAACTGTCAGGAAGGGACACCAAGTCTCATTCACGTGCTCAATTGGTTTCAACGACGATGACACGGAACAAGAAAATCTCCGTATCCGATGGAAACACAATGGGGAGGTCCTTGACACGAGGTCACACAGGTTCAAGGTGATGGACGGTGGGCAGACATTGGTCCTGAGGGAGGCGGATTATGGTGACGCGGGGCAGTACACCTGTATAGCCAGCGTGAGGGGACAGGTCAATGAGAAAGAGAAATCCTCAGCCAAACTCATTGTCAAAGGTAAATCTCTAATAAAATTGAATAACATCAGCATACTGTATGTCTAGTGGGATTCCTCTTTAAACATTTTTGGTAAACTTAACTCCATGCAAATAAAGACTGATTTTAAATATGTTTTCTTAACTGTGTCAGTTTAATTTCCAAACAATGATTCATCAAGTTTAAAACAAAGGTGAATGAATTTTAAAAATTCATTAAAAAATAAGACTAGTATGATCCCAGGCACCTGACAATTGGATGGTGTTATCCCCTCCCCCCTTTAGCTTCTGAGAGTGTATAAAAATACTACTATTGAAATACTACAGTAAAACTCGGTTATAATGAAGTCACTTGGGCCTATGAAATTACTTGCTATATCAGTAATTCCTTATATCCGCATAAGAAATTTGTTAAATTTATATAGCTATGGATCCAAGATGACTTTGCTATATCTGTGAATTCGCAATATTGGTGTCCGTACTAAGGGAGTTTTAGTGTATTACCCCCTCTTCCAAAATTGTGAATTTCATGGCCCAAGACCACAAGAGGCTAAAAGGACCGTTATGATTGCAGTTGAACACTGTGTTTTAAAATATTAAACTATTGTCTTGATATATTTTTGTGATATACCAATAGAGTGTAGATAGCAACAGCATATACAGCAAGTTTCTGAGTTGCTGCTGATTACAAAACTACCTGTTATGTTGACCCTGGATCATCCTATTTGTCTTATTTCGTAGTTTTAATTTTGCATTATTTCATAATTATCTACCATTCTTTGGAAATTTTACAGGCTTGTTAAAAATAAAATACTCAGGTGACTGTCAAGGTCCTTATGCCTCTTGCTTTTAATATGCCATGAAAACTCCATAGCTGTGAAATTACCAAAATATAAATCTATAATGAAGATTCCTCATCTGACAATATGCCATTGAAAGCTGGAATGGTTTCTGTCTATTTTAAACCAGTTCTTGGTGTCAGATTTGGCCCGTACGTTTGCCGATTTTTTATGGTTATTGTTGTGAGATTATTTTATCTTGGTGTGAACTTGGCCTCACATCTACATAACTGTGACAGGAAATGAACGGTTTTCAATAAAATGACTTCGTTTGGGGAGCCAAAAAAGAAAACCGAGAGCGAATCGTAATGATGCAATTTGATTTCCCTCCGAAAATAATGTTGATATACGAGAAATGTCTGCCCAAAAATACATAACTCTAGATTTGGTGTGTTGAATAGGAATAATGAAATAGTGGGTAAAAAATCTTTTTACTGACATAACGCAGGCCAGAATGACAATCTTGTGATATTGGAAAATTGTACAGAAAGGAATTGATCTCATTAATATAGTATATATTGTCTCCTTGTTCTTTTACAAGCACACGAAAATTAAGTCAAGAATTTAGTCTATGGCATTTATATTCTACAGAATTATTTTCAAATATTGAAATTATTCGCCATTTTAAAGAAAAATATTTTTTCAGATCAGTGGCTTATCCTTTTTCAATTGTCAAGAAAAAAATGTTTGTTTGTTGCATAACACTTCGATATAGCCATAATACTTGAAAATAATGATTGCTTTTGACCGAGTTTGTATGTTGCAAATAACAGAAATGAAACTTCACATGAATCCTTTCTTATTTAGGCACACCTGAACCTCCACAAGACGTAGAAATCAGTTCCTGCGGACCAAAGAGGGTGGAATTGATTTGGCGCGATGGTTTGGATGGAGGCGAACCCATCAACGAGTACCTCATACAATACAACACGTCAGATAACCCCTACTACTGGAACTCAGCGGACGAGGAAATCGAATACATGGACAAGGTATCCAAGACCGCCTTCATCAGCCTGTCCCCCTGGGGCTGGTACTCTTTTCGCGTGATGGCAAAGAACAGTCTGGGATACAGCGAACCGAGTAAGCCCACGAAAACGGAATGTAACACGCCGCCCGAGAGACCGACGTCAAATCCGGTTAACGTTAAGATGAAGACGGACAAGGAGGGAAAACTAATCATTACTTGGGATGTAAGTCTGGCCTTTAAATTAGGGGCTGTTAATGAGATTATTGTGTGGATTAAAGGTCAGAGGAGAGTCGTTTGTCTGCTCAATTAAAAAGGATGAAGCAATATATTTGCTAGAGAAAGGGTAGAGGAAAGATTAGGTTTGAAATTGAATTCTGTAGGTAATTGATTAAAGAAATAACAAAGAAATGCCTGTTTCAATATGGGAAAGTAGAAAATGAATTCAGTAATAAAAATAAAAAAATTGATGCCTAATTAAAGAAGTTAAATATGTATCTTTAAAATTACTTTTTACTCATATTACAACTTTTTTTTCAGAATATCTTAAGTCTCTATATTCACTCTTGAGATGTTCACAACAGATGAAATACCGGTATTATATAAAAGACTGCACTTGAAACAAAAATGTTAGATGTAGACAGACATATCTGTACATGAGCAATAGCATTTTGATGGACAGAGTTAAGATCTTTCCCACAAATCACCATAAATTGTTATTGAACAGGAATGTCACGGCATTTAATAGACGCCTGGTCCTCAATTAACAGAGCCCCTTAAAGCATTCCTTGTGAGTAAGATGTAGGAGTTGTATAATATTGCGGAAACAAAAAACCCCGATTTTCCTATCATTTTTCGGTATAAAACAGCTATCAGCCAGCGTCTTATTGATCCGACAATGACGACGCAGCTCTCGTGGCCTCGGGAGCAGATAATTGAATTTCTCTGGCCGATGGAGTCAGATTTATGAGGATCAGTTTCAAACAAGATGAAATCCTGCCATGGACGGAACTTATCTCTAATTATCGTAATCACTTCCCAATACAGGCAGTGATATTTTTTTCCAAAACCAAAGCTGAAGATGACAATAGTCTTAGTTTGGGGGAACAATTTCTGGGTTGTTTTTTTTGAGAGTATTCAAATGGCTTTTTTGCAGACTTAATTTGTTTTATTTAGGCCAAATTCTTTAACAAATACTGTAAGAAAAGCTATTTTCATCCTCTTACATATAAATCACATTTTAATTATGCAAACCTTTCTTGACTGAAAATATATTTTATGAAAAATTTTACAAATTTAATACACAATTGTTTTTCACATGAAACCATGATGCCCTTACAAATCTAGATAGGTCATAAATTGTTAAAATTGTTTAAAAAAATATACATTAATAAAATAATAAAAATATATGATCTTTCAGTGGCTTTTACCATTGACAAAATATTTGAGATGTCACAATCACATTTGCCTAGACACTGATCCTCAGCTGAATACTGTAGATTGACAAATAATCATGATCAAGGTTTTAATTTCGCTATGTTCACTTTTTATCATTTTTCCATGAAATTAAACCCATCAGGAATTTATTATTAATTTTAAAAACGTTTAAATGCTTATATGAAATTTTGCAATAATTTCTTGCAGCGTGAAATTCAAACTATCGCAATTGGTACTTTTTGAGATATCGTGAATTTTTCACACCGTAGAATTAAAATGACTTACAGTATATGGCTTGATATGCAGTAAATATGATTATATTGTTACAAACCATTTGTGTTTGTAAATATTATAATGGGACTATAAATAGTTTATTATGATTAAACATAACAAATTATGATTTTTTATTTCCAGCCAATGCCTCGAATGCAGCACAATGCTCCAAGCTTTGGTTACAGGGTGAGCTGGAGAAAGCGGGGCAGCACGTTCTGGAACAAGAAGGACATTAAGAACGCTAATGAGAACCAGTTTGAGGTAGACGTGGACGACGTTTATGGTCTCTACGACGTCCAGGTACAGGCCATCAACAGTCACGGTCCCTCGTTCATGCCGGTGTTTACCGTACGGGGACACTCGGGGGAGGGGGGTAAGTAGTAGCTCTGGTTGTCTGTTAGTAGTGAGCAAATATTTATTCTATAGTCCACATCATTGTGCGGTATTCAAATTGATGAGACAGATCATGATGTTAAAATATATTTAATCTCTAAATGAGCAATTATTGATGGTTTTAAAATGATAGATATAAAACTTTTGATATTGTCTAATTTCTCAGAAGCTCGTATAATTTATGCACACGTTTTGTTACTTTCATTATGCATGTTAAATTATTTTAAAAGAATTTTGACTTTTAAACTTTGCATGTATATAATTTTAGGGAGTTATATTTTTCTTCTTACAACTTAATTGTTTGATAATTGACCTTTGCAGATCCATTAATCAAGCCTCGAGATTTCCGAGTTGATCCAACCAAGGACCCCAGACCCCATGAAGCTCACTTCATCTGGGAATCTGTTGACCCATTGGATGATAGACTCAGGGGAAAGTTCAGAGGTTATAAGGTATAAGGTCAAATGTCAGAAAGAATAATTAAATTGTGTTATGTATTTTATTCATGTTATAATATGTTCCATTGTAAATTTTTATTAGTTTTTTTTAAGAGAAAGTGTTTTTTTTTTATAACATTATAATTAATCTCAGTATTTGATTGAATCTCAGTTCAAATAAATCTCCGTTTTCTTTTGCTATAGTTACAATACTGGAAATCCAGTGAGGGACGAAGGAACAAGGTTGAGGTTCCAATTATCATAAAAACAGATATGGCTCACCTGTCACATGATGTGCGGGCTTCCATACCTGATTTACCGGCGAACACGGCATTCCGAGCGCAGGTATTGGTGATGAATGGACACCACACGGGACCCCCTAGTGACACCATTGATTTCAAAACATCGGAGGGAGGTCAGTTGTCTGTCTGTTGGGTTGTAAGGTCTGTCTGTTGGGTTGTAAGGTTTTACTCTCTAGAATATTTGAGTTCTAAACACTTTTTTAAATTTACAATTTTACTGATTTTTTGAAATTCTTTAATTACATTCCCTGTGAATGATTAAAAAATTTTTTTTGATCAACCAAGAAGTTTTAGTGGCTGATCTTATAATCATGTCATGTCCAGTTGGAAGTTCAAGGACTGTAATGAATTATTTGTTTTCAAGAACTTTCAAGGAGCTATTGGTAAATCAATGCATAAAGAAACCTGATTTCCTGATATTTTTGGAATATGACTGTAATAATAAAAGAAAAAACATGTTAAGGAATAATCAGAAATTTTAGATTATATATTTTTACAATTTATCTTTCCTTTCTGTGTTGACCGTTAGATCTTTTTTTTGTTTTCAGTCCCTGGTCCCGTTCGTAACCTACAGAAGGATGAGGTACAGAGTGATCACGTGGTCCTAACGTGGGATCCTCCTGACGAACCTAACGGATTCCTGCTAGGATACGACTTAGGTTACCAAAAACGTAAGGTTGAATTTGAACCAGAAGATACCCAACCCCCCAATTGTCCATATTTGAGACTGTCCTTTGGTTAATCGCAATGAGTGGCCTTAAATCTGCAACATGATATACATGATGAATTTTACCTTATTGTAATAATAGAATTTTGTTTTGGAATGATTATGGTCAAATCCTTCAAAATTTTTTGATATATTTTGATACAGTTGCCAAAATTTTCTTTTCTTTTGAAAAGGAACGAACCCTTAGCTTTCAATACTGAAAATTTTCTGTAAATTTTTAAATGAATTTCGGGCAAATTCAGTATAGGGCAATATATTGGGCAAATCATTATTGAAATACAAGTAAAACTATCAGGTCATCTTCAACATTTAAGTTGAAGTTGGTTAGTTGGAAAATTAATAAAAAGGGTTTTTGAAGAAATATATATTTCAAGAAATCTATTATGAATAGTCTAGCTGTGTGAACCATTAGTAAATTATTTCAGTAAATGGAGAAGTGGAGGGAGATATCAGGGCCCTGGAACCAAGGATTAATAACCCCTCCCACACCTCAGCCCGGATCACAGGTCTACAGGCCAATCACCAGTACCGCTTCTTTGTCTGGGCCAGAACCAGCTCAGGGAGGGGGGATAAAAGGGGGGTGCAGGTGTTAACCAAAGGTAAGATACAAGTGTTCATGAAGGTTCAAGTGTTAACCAAAAGTAATATACAGGTGTTCAGGTTCAAGTGTTAACCAAAAGTAATATACAGGTGTTCAGGTTCAGGTGTTAACCAAACTTAAGGTAAGATACAAGTGTTCAGGTTCAAGTGTTAACCAAAGCTTAGGTACAGGTGTTCAGGTTTTGTTTTTGAGTCAGATGTTAACCAAAGGTGAGGTACAAGCTAGTGTACAGGTTTTGTTTTGGGGAGTTCAGGTGTTAACCAAATGTAAGATATAGGTGTTCTGGTTTGGTTTTTGGGAGCTTGGGTGTTAACCAAAGCTAAAGTATAGGTGTGCAGGTTTAGTTTTAAGGCTTCTGCAGGGTTAACCAGGCAGTCAGGGTTTTTGTCAAATCATAAGGCTAAGGTATTGTACAAAGAAATTAGCAGGCCAAGTAACCGCAGATTAGGTACAGGTATCCAGGTATTAACTGAGGATAACATGCATGTACTGCAGTTAAGATATTATATACTGAGTAAAATGAAAGAGTCAAATACATGTATTGAATAATAGGTTTGATAATACACTCAGGTTTTGCTATTACAATATATGTTTTCCCATTGTTTTAAGTTAATGGATTTAAATAGGTGGAAACAATTAATTCTTTCATATATGACTCATTTACTTTTTACCCCCTGAAATTTCCATTTACTTGGAATAAAATGTCTTTATTGATGAATAAGTCATGATTATTCAACTTTTAGAGTCCAATAATAGCAATGGCTTCTCTCTCATTTCATGTCACCATGGTGACTGAGTTGAATTCAGCTCCTGAGAGCTCTCTAGGGAGGCGACTAGATTGAGATTTTATTGCCCAAAATACTTATCTCCTTTAATGGAGTCGTGCAATAATCATGGCTTAGAAATTGTGTTCATTAAGTCCTTTTTACAAGATTAATGGCTGCATGGTTTGTGATTAAAATGCAATCACCGTGCAGTGATGCTTTAATTGTTTTCCTCCCGATAATGTGGATATTGATTGAAGTTTCATCCGTGAGCGATCGTTTCTTGTTCTGATGTTTTGGAATGGATTTTGACTTTTTAGTTTGTGTCATCCTTGTGTGATAGTAAAATTTGTCACTTTATACTGAACTGAAAGTTTTAATCAATACACAGGCCTCATATTTACACACAATCTGATTAAAAAAGGTACTTGATCCATTTCTAAATTCATAAAGTTCTTAGTTATTTTGACAGTTTTTTAAAAAAAATACTATAACAGGCTTCTATTAGGTTTTCAGACAGGGGTCCTCCCGGCGCACATCACGTCTTAAACCAAGTCAAAAATTGAGAATAGTTATTTTCACTGTCAGATGTATGATACAAGAGAAGAATTCAGTTATCTTTACAAGCTTTGATTGCAAAATAGTCCTCAAGCATTGCTTTAACCTGATGGAAACCAGGTTTCTAGATCTTTCCACATCGTATAGTGCTCCCTCTAATGGAAAACTCTTTGATCAATGCCTGGAGATGTCAAAATGTTACTTTTTCTTGCATTTCCTATTGTTTGTATACAATTGAGCACATTTTTGTTCTAGTTCTTATATGCTGTATAAATTAGAGAAAAACATAAGAACTCATCCATGAAATGAAAATGTATCTGTACCTTTTCAGGTCTTGCAAACAGCCAGATGGCCAGCATCCACCAATCAGGAATCAGTTTAGCATCACATGACCTTGGAGCCAACTGTCGAATGCTCATGGCTATAGCAATCTCATGGACTTTGGCAAAACTAGTCTTCCACTGACACACACTGAGAGAGATTAGGGTGTTCTGGTCTTAAACGGATTGTTAAGGTTTCCTCTATCAATATCATTTCCTCAGTTATCCTGCTTCAAGGGATATCTGAGAAAAAGTATGGAGAACATCTGATATTGTAGTGTGTCACCGAATCTAATTGAATGAACCAGATATTTGCAACTATATGGATTCAGAATTGAAGCCCATTTCACTGGAGCCAGGCTATAGCAAAGGACGTACAGTAATTCGATAATTAAGGGTCCATCTTTATTATAGGGCTTTAGATTATGTTAACCATATGAAATTCTTGTTCAAGCTGTCTTATGTTGAAAACAAACTTTGGTAGCTTGTGCAAAGTATCTTCCAAACATAAATTGGAAGCAAATTTTGCATGAAAAAAAAATTTCCAAAGTGATGAAACTGCAAACTTCAACTTGAAATGACTGTTTTAAAAGTGCTACAAAAAATGCAGTGCATATTCAGTTCTGTGAAATTTCAGTGTAAGCCATAGTAACTGAAACTTGAAAAATGAAATAATAAGAGATTGAAAATTGCAATTCCAGTACTTACTAAACCTGGGCAGTAGTTTTCTGAAATGATCCTACTAGCAATGATTGTCAGAAAAAACAAAAGTATCGTGGTCTTTATTGAATGAACTTTTGAAACCTTAATGACATTTCAAAAATGTGATGATAATGTAACTAGTCCAAAATATAGCTCTTCTTTTGAGACTGTGTCCATGACCTTCAAGTTTGTTGGGAACTGGCAGTGAACCTAATTTTCCCGTGATCATTCCAACTTTGTGCAAGTTCCATGTAACATTCCAATGAAGTTGGCGTAATGCATGCATCATCCAACAACCTAGTGGAATCGTCTCGACAGCGAATTGTTTCACATACAGCTTCATCCTGTGTTTATAAAATTGTGACATTTTGCTGCAGTTTAATTTCCTGGTGTGACTTTCCTTCAGATTAAGAAAAACTGGAGCTCAGATGACAGTCAAGTGAGCAAAGAAACCACATGCAGAATCTACAATAATGTCTCATTTAGGAATCTCTTCTAATTAATGAATTGATTATGTGCCATAATTAGCTCTTCGTGGTTCACTGATGTAGTAAAACCTTCACCTGGCTTCGAGTGAGCTGTACTGTAATAAATCACTGATGTATGTAGTGAATGTTTAGTCCCCTGTCCAAGAATGTGTCATTTTCTGTGAACAAAGATTTTGTATTTGTCACAACAACAGATATTTAATCATGAATTTTTGTACATGTTTTAATTTTAATCATGGTTATAAAATGAAAGATTTTTGACGTGAAAAGTGATATATGTATTTGATTTTCATAGATTTGTATGATTTAAATGAGCATATGTAAAAGTTTCATCATGTCTATTTATAGTTAAATAAAAATATATTCAGGATAATATATATATAACTTTGAGCCTGCTGAAGACGTGCATGTAAAAATCTTTATTCTAGTCAAACTATAGAGTCGTTCTTCGTACTTATTCAGTATTATACTTGCATTTATCTATTTGAAAAAATGTAGTGAAGGCTAAACAATGTATTGAAACCAAAAAACTTGTACCAATGTTTAAATGAAATATTTTAAACATGTTCTTCATAAAGCAGATATTGCTGGTAATTCATATTCCCAAATTCTTTTTTTTTTTTTTTTAAAGAAAGATTACATGAACATACATGTATTTGAGGACATTGTTATCTAATATGTACTTAAAAAAATGGAATGGAAATAATTTTCCAAATGAACAATCTGTAGTTAATTAATAATTTGTTAAACTAGTATACTTATTGGATAGTATAAAAACCCATGCATTTTGAAAATGACCTTTATTCTGTACCTAAATGCTCTTCAAGCATTCAAAATGTAGTTATTTGTTTTGTTTTAAAAACTTTGGAGATTATTTTGAAAGTGTATGTACTTACAAGCTATTGATCATCTTGTTTATTTTTGACTAATGTACATTTTTGTACATGTATGTACCTGTATGTAAAAAGCAGCCATGATGACTTTTCTGTTGGGTAAATGAGAATGATTGTTTGAAAAAACTCAATGTGCTTGCTCTTGATCACTTTATTTTTAAATATGAATGGGAATTTCAACCAAGCAGAATCCTCATATTCAAAAGGTTGTGAAATTTTGTAGTTCATGTAGTTCTAGCTTACATTTACTTGTTCCCTTCTAGAAATTCATAATCAAATTCATCAGCGTCTTCATCATCGATCATATTCATTATCAACTTTTACAGTAAAGTTCTGTTCATTTGATGACACAAAATCAGTCATCACAGCTATACTATTTGAGATTACCCTTGCAAGTTTTCCAATGATACTGTAGCGACTTCTACTTGCAATCTGAAAATTCCCAAAATGATAGACTGAAATGAATACCACCACTTCTATGGCCATTTTAGATTGATATTTACAAAGTTGGGTGCATGCAAGGATACATGTAAAAGGGAAATTTTTCAGATACATTTAAAAGCAATTGAAATATTAATAAGTTGCTTTTTATTTGACATTTTATTGGAATGAGTTTTATTCTAAAACTTCTAAATTTTTATCTTCTTCCAACGAATGGCTTGGTTTCTTTCCTGTGCATCAAAGTACCGAAATGATTATAAAATTCTTTGCCACTCCTATTATCAAAATAAGATGGTTTCCCCCTATATTGATACATTTTGAAAATGAGGAGTATTGATGATTTATTAATATGTTAATAGCTGGACTTGATGACTTGAAATTTTATCTTTCATAGCAAAGGATAATCTACAATTATATTTTAGTTTCAAATATATTGTACCGAAAGAAAGTGAATCATATGAAACATTTGTCATTTTCACTAAGTATTTGTTTTTTTTAAATCATTATATTCCTATGATTTCTCCCACAAAAATATATTCATTCTTTTCATCCAGTTTTGCACAATTTCATTTTTTGTGTGCTCCATTTCTTTATCAAACGAACACTTCATTCTTGCCAAATGCACATTGGTACATACGTAAACATATACACTGCATTCTGGGTAAAAAATGAACCACAAGGTTGTGCTAGATGTTGTGATAGTTATTTTGCAACAATTTACCAAGAAAATCATATCAGTATGTGTTGTTTTTCTAAAGATGCTGACTCTGAAATGAAACTCTAGGTATATAGTTAGACAATGTCAAATTAGTCAGGTACCCATTATATTTTGATTAATTGTCAAAGAGTACATGATATGATCTGAAAGAGGTTGTGTTGATAAATTGTATTAAATCTTGTGAAGAGAACAATCAAGGATTGTTTTATTTATTATGGACTTGGTTTGAGTTCAATTCTGTTTTCTTTAAAATTTGTTTATCAATATTTTACAAGTTTGATAAAATAGAGAAAAGAAAGTTCAAGACAGGAATATATTTAACTTGATTTTCATAACAAGCTAAATTCAAATAGATTTGGTTAAAATTTGACAGTTGTTATCTTTATTTAAAAAAAATGTTTCGGGGACAAATATTTCAACGAATAACTTCCCTTTATGGAAAGAGTGATAACTCTTAAAATAAGATTGCTGCAGTATTTTCTTTTTCAACAATCATGGACCCAATTTTCATAATCATATCTTCAATCTCCACAAGAAATAGTTCTGTTTTGGCAAGCAGATAATAATGTTACTTTTATAATGGAAAATGAAGTGAAGAGGTATTGGAAAGATAGAGGGTTGTTTCCTTCAATTTTTTTTTCTAAAGAGAAGTACATGCAAGCAAAAACAGCTTTGCTTTATACAATAATAAAACCCTAAATAGATACTTTTTAGTTAGTGCCTGGTAGGCCTGCCCACTGCCTTTGGCATGAATATAATACTCATTGTCCTCAATCTCAAAATATGTCATGTGTTGGCAAGTTCCATAGGAATCCATGAGATATTTGTTGTAAATCAATCAAACTCACAATTGATTATGTTTAAATGTTTTATGATGTGTTTTCTTTGTTCTGACACTAATGTGTTTTTTGAATGGAAATGACCTCATTTATGTTTTATCTTTTTCACATTAGCACTAGAACTGTTTTGTGCCAAATGATTTCATTTGTTATTCTTTATTGCTTTATTATTTTATGTTTAGACATTTAGTATGGCTGAACTTTATTTTCTCCAACATCCATATTAATTTCTTTTCATACAAAGCATAATTGATTTCGAGAATGGATAACCCATAAATTGTTTACAATATTTACAATTACAAATATTGAATATTTTTTATTTGTGAAAATTCTTCATTTTTCCCAAAGCTTGTTTTTTCTCTTTTTATGTGTGTTTCGTAAATGTTGAAAATGAACCAGACTTTGCAAATACTCAGAAGTTTTATTGTGTGTTGATTAGTAGAGGGGGCTTAGTGCAATTAGCTTTCTCTTTCTGGGAAACTGTAGACGAATGCTTTCCTTGTCATTTTATGTTGTACAGACAAAAGTTAATTATATCTTGTTGATCATTAAGATTATTAAATCATTTTTATTTCAAAGTAAAAAGTGTTGTTCTCATTTATTCTTAGAATGAAATAAAGGAAGATGAACATTGCTTTATGTCAAAAAGTCTACAAACGTTAGAAGTCTGCTAACAGGGCATAAAACATGAGTTCCTGAAATTCCTTCAGAGGGATTAGGTGTCTATCGGGAGCAAGCAACCCCTGTCAATCGGTCACAACTATTGTGTTCTTCATGTATTAATCAGGAAGACGGAATAATCCTTAGTCAAATTTAGTATAAATACAAAGCCCTATTGATTGATGTAAATTATATCAATGTGATAGGTTGCTTTTAAACGATCAGATTTTTATATCCTTTAACATCAACATGATTCATTTTCAGTTGAACATTATATTTTAAAAGATTTGATATAAACTACCAACAATAAACCTGCTATATGTTAATTTTACACGCATATTGTATTTGTAAATTAATGATAATAGTATGAACTATATGTTTATTATTATTGTTGTATAATCTCTGTCATACAATAGTATGATTATTACTTTTTTCTTTCATCTATTTTTTTGTAAATATAGACAATATCGGGTCGACATATGAAGGAAAGTTACTCTTGTTAATTAAAATAATTCGTCGTCAAGTGTTTTTCTTCTTCTCGTGAACAAGTTTTCTTTAAATCAAATTGCCTCATATGAATACAAAATTAGGCTAACTAATAAATGGGTGCATGACAAAGTAAAAAAAAAAATTACTGTAGAATTTCATGTACATACATGTAAGATTGACTAAATTTTGCTAAATGGGACCGTACTAGCTACAGTAGACCCGTCAAACTGGACGTATTTCATAAGACTTCAGTTTTAGTTTTCTGAATTTTACATGTATTGAGTAGATCTATTGTTGATATTCAAGTGATTTTTTTTTTCAGCTAAAGAAGTTATCTTGTGATTTTTTCCTCGAGTCTATACGTTTATAGAAAACCAAGTCAGTAATACTAAAGGGCTTTTAAATAAAATCCGGTTTCTAAATCATTAAGTTTTATATAATATTTTTTTCTCCTCTCAAATCCAATTTACTTGTTTTGACACTCTTTTATGAAGTGTATTAGTATTAGTTAAGTAAGGATGATACAGAAACTTTTTTTCTTTGGAGGAGATTTAATATCACGTCACTGGTTAAGAAAAAGCAGACACTTCTTTTGTTTTTTTTTTCTTTTTAGACTTGTAGAATTCAATACCTACCATATCTCACCCCCTTAAAAAAAACACAGCTAGAATAATCATGGTAAAATAGTTTAATCTTCACCTTTTTCCCTCTTGTTTTCTTCGAAAATGATACTAAAGGAGCACATTTAGTTAACTGGTATTACATTTAGTCAAAAAACCGTTGTATTTTCTTGCATAAAAGAAATGAACCCTTGAAAAATATTTGTTAATACTTGAATAAAATTACAAATACGGATAAACCACACTTAGTAAAGGTTTACAGATGAAAACAAATTTCAGAATATAATAAATGTGCTAGTTTGGTGCTAAAAGTGTAATATAAACTTTAATAATATATCAGGTTAGATGAATTTTATGCGGAAAAGCAAAATGTTAAAATCAGACTATTTGATTTTTGTGAATTTTTACCGTTTTGCTTTTCCCGGGGGAATTATAGAAGGTATTTCATTCTCAAAGTCCTTGGAGAGTAAAAAAATTCAGAGAATTACGAGTATATCCTCTTTTCTAAAACTAGAACTGTGACATGATATTTAATCTCCTCCAAAGAAAAAAAATTGTACTAGTATCATCTGTCCTTAACAATGACTTCGTAAGACAAGTTCTTGAAATGCTACAATGTTCAGTTCAATTTATACTGAATAACTGTGTATATAATACTCAATAAAAGATGGTTATGACAGTGGTCCATCTCAAAAAGATCTATAAATGTAACAAAAACTGACCTTTCGCAATTCCTGAGGTGGGAACAGGTACGTAGGAGGAGTGAGCATCCCCTGTTGACCGATTTATTGATCAGGAAGACGTAGTAAATAACGTAGTACAATGGCCTAACAATAGATCTGAAACAATACAGCCAAAATACGACCTATATAATGATAGGTTTTCTTTACTAACAAGGTCGTTATAACGGCCCACGAAATGCCGAGGAACAGATTTATAAGTGGGTACAAATATCTCCTTCATTTCTTTTTCCCAATTAATGCAGTTGTAACATATGTTGGTCACTCATCCAAGGACAAAGGATACTCAGGCTTACTGTATAGCTTAATATTGAAAATATAATATAATATATAAAATACCAGTATATCATTCTCTTGAATGACTTGAAATAGGGGGAAAATATACCGAATCACTTTTCTAACTCCTCAATGAAGGGGTATGATTAGAAAGGTATTGTTTGCAAGACAAACAGCTGTATATATCGTGTGCTAGACAATTACTAGTAAGGGTATAAGTATTAATCCAATATAGAGAGACTTTATATACTGCTATGATAGCAAGTCAATGAAAGCTTGAAATAACTTATAATAATTATAATCCCTGAAGTAAAACACTCTAGGTTTAAGAGCACTTTCGTCAACAATATTACAATTTAGAAAAGAAAGTACACGTCCTTCCGTCTTTCTTTAAAAAAAAAAACGCATTCTTTAAGTATATGTACTTATTTTTTGTATCTTGACTAGAGAAAGATTTTCAAGTGGGAAAAAAGACAGATTGCATTCATACACGTAAACCGATTTTATAAACTGGTATAGCTAAGTAACTCAACTTTAACTATAATAGAAATATTTACTCTTATATTCACCTATTTATACTCACTTATTCCACTTAATTTATTCACTTATTTGGTTGAACATCGATCCATTATCAGTAAAAGTATGCTCTGAAAAGTTTTTTTTTTATATAGAAAAAATTTAATTTATCTAATATTCTTTTATTTACTAAAATGCTATGTTTCCTCATACTACGAATAATTTATATAAAACAAAGTTTAACGTGGAAACGAAAGCGAGGTAGACAGACAGCTAGACATACAGACCAAAATTAATATCCCCCAATTACGGGAAGGGGGGTTAATATTTTGTCGATTCAACCATTTATTAATCGTCTCCCAAAAGCAAGCTATTTGTTTTGATTGGTATTGATAATATATATACAATGTGATTTTTTATTTTTCCACTCTTTTCTTCAGAATGCTTTTGGTCCTTTTGATTTTCAATATATTAACATATATACATGTAAGCTAGAATAAAAAAAAAAATGTACATTCTTTTAGCAAAATGACGATCAACTTTTTATGTGCTTGTATACTACATATAAAAACGAACAATATGGAAAAACAATATGAAGCATGCATGTACATGTAGGACCAATCGTCCCTAAAAATCGAAGGTAAGAGATGGATTTATTCTTGCCTACAATATAGGGATGTCAAAGTTGTCAATAATTGATATTCGAATATTCGATAGGAGTATTCGAATATATTCGAATATTCGATAAAATAAATACATCTTGCATTATTAAATATATATCTTCACTCTCCTGTCAAGTAGTGTAGAGTTTATGCCATTATTTGGAATAAAAACTCATGTGGAGTTCGGTAAATACACTGCAATTATATTTTTTAAAAGAAATATTGAATAGTATACATCCCAAATGTAATGATTGTTAGAAAATTCAAAAGATTCTTTAGTATGTTCCAGATTAATTATTGATCGTCTTACTAAAGTCTACACTGATAATTCCTACAAATTTATACCAAGCAGAACAATTATCTAACGGTGAAATATTAAAAGCAATTACTTTTCGCTAATTATGATTTCCTGATAATGATTTTTAATGATTTTTACATAAACAAGGGGTCCGTGTGTTTACTGTAAAACTATGTCCTTACAACAATACAAGCTGATTGTAAGTACTGGAAACTATTATACTACTAATTAAGTGAACAAATACATAAATTACTCTAATAGATATACTCTTCACACCTTTAAGGTGATCCAAGAGGAGTGGGTTTTTTAAAAATTTTGTACGAACTTTATTCAATTTCTAATAAAACTTGCCAGGGTTTTCTCTCTTTTTAATGCTTGTATACTTAAAAAGGAATATTCGAATCATAAATTTATATTCGAATATCAACTCATCGAATGAATATTCGAATATTCGTTGACATCCCTACTATAATAGCATAAAAGTATCAATTAGAAATTATTATTGAAAACGCATTTTAATTGTTGAATACATTACAGGTAGAGCAACAAGTGCGTTTAAAATAAGACATGTATGTTTTGATCTTTTAATAATAACAATACGTGTCATTAAAATCAGATATCAAAACATAATTACATTCAAAATGATCAGAATAAAAAAACCTAAGATTTAGCACGATGAAAATCATTGAAATCAGACATGTACTGAATCATAAACTCAAAAATTTGCACAATAAAGTTTATTATCATCATACGAGGGTTGTTAGAAAAGTTCGCGGACACATTGAATTACGGAAAATCTATTGTGTACTGTGAAGTATGACCTATGTCTGAATAAATTCCTACATTTTGTTTATTGGTATGTAAAAAATTAAGTCCAAATAATGAAATCTTGAAAATCTACAACGATTTTTATTATGAGGTCATGGGATTCACGGAGCAATCACTTGACGTAAGGCGACGTAACAACCAGATTTCAACCCGTTAAGCTTTGTCGCAGTTCAAAAAATCTTTCATTTCTTCAGATTTTTCTTATCTTTTTTCTACTTTAAAATTGAATATCTAGATCAACATGTTACTTTTCTACTATAATGTCTTTTGTATTGATTTGGATATTATTGAGATCTTTAAAAAGTCTATGCAGTTAATCGATCAGGTATTGAAACTATGCAAAACCATATAGGCGCAGAGCAACGTCCATGCAAAAAGGGGGTATTGAAGTGTCACCGCAGTTAATCATTCAAAATGTTAATCCTTCCATTCTTATGAAGCTACAACCATTTGAAAACTTGTCCTTTGTATGTGTAGGAAATTCCCGGCGGAATCGTGAACATTTTAATCTCTTTTTAGACATTTCCCTGTCCGCACACATAATTTTTACGTACTGCAGTGCTTCATGACGCTCAATGACGTTCCGATTTTTGGCTTTGTTTTTACGCGTCGATCAATCTTAAACGGCTATAAAACAGTCATATACCGTCCAATTTAGTTCAAAACTTCTCCCAGTGACGTTTCATGCATACTTTAGCGGCAGGTAAAATATCATAAATCTCTTTGCGCTACAATTGTGCAATTTTTGATTTTAAGAAAGAGTCTTTATAATGTAAACGTGCCAAAATGTAGCATGCTCCGTGAAGCAAGTTTTTTCAAAATAAAAAAGCTGTATATATTTCAATAATCACCGGAGAGCACCCAATTCTTGTATATTTATTGGAAAAGAGCTTAAGATTTTATCTGGAAAGTTTGACCAGTTTCGTGGAAATAGCGCGCTCACAATAGAACTTGTCCTCGAACTTTTCTAACGCCCCTCGTACATTCATGTAAATGAATTACAAATTCAAAGATACAATAATAAAAATCAGACATACATGTATCAAACACTTGAAACACAGCACAATTAAAATCAATAACATCAGACAAAACTTTGCAAACCGCACACGAAATAAATGGTTAGACTACGCCAAATAAAATAGTTCAAATGAGCTATACTTCATCAAAGACTCATGACAATGGATTTGAATAGACTTATCAAAAGACAAATACTTTAATGAGAACAATAATAATAAAAATGGCAAGAAAAAACAAACTAGACAAATAAAAGTATCAAAACAAAACGTCCATGACTCCCATAATAAACATTGTTGATATGGGAGGGAGGTGTAATTTTAAGATAAAAATTATTTCTCAATTTTCGTTTTATAAACACTGTTTTGGTTAATGCTGCCTTCTAGCCATGGTTTGTGGTTAAACAATTGCTGCCACTGAGTTTCGGAAGTTTTAAAGACATTAATAACAATTCATGCTAAAAATACAAATATAATTTCGACATTTGATAAATTCTTTTTTTTCAGAAAATTCCGATCCCCTTGATTTTCAATTCATTATACTCAACACTTATTAGAAGCGACAATGGTCGCGTATTAGAAAAATGACACTGAATGAAGTTTTTTATATACACAACGTACGTACAGTTTTAAAAAATAGTATCAAATATTAAATATTTATAGTTCTTAATGTATATCTGAAAATCAAAAGTGATAGTCCAACTTTTGTCAACGTATTTCTTAACTAGTTTTATTCCCCAACCGGTTTGCTAATATACGAAAGAAAATAGAAAATTGGATAGATGCCATAGTTGATAACATATTAAATTAAATACCTAATAATTATAACTTGTCACATGACTTCCATTGTGTATAAAAATATAGATTGTAATACATCGAAGTGACTGTATCCGCATTCTTAATGACTTGAAGTATTTACATTTAACTCTTATGATGATTTACAATTCAAGACAAAGCGATTTTAAAAAGTTGTATAAGATTTCAAGAAATTGTATTTTTAGAAAACTAAAAAAAAAACTATTTGTAAAAAAAATACCAAGATAATGTATTGAAAATACAGTATTTCTAGGAAAGAAAATGTCAAGAATGTTGTTAAGATACTTTGACTAATACAGCTGAAAAAAATAAAAAAAATGCCGTCCTTTCATACTAAAAAATTCTATCTCAAAAGAGAATCGCATTTATTTAACCTTTGTAGAAAAACTCTCCCAAGATACAATATAGGCCACATGCTCAATGCTACACACTGGACTTTGATTGAATTTGAATCAAAGATGGTTGATTGATCCATGATCATCATATAATGCATAATATTGGAGAACATTATTTAGAGATACATGTCTTTCTTTTTCTTGTCATGAACAGTAAGCACCCCATTCCTGTAATGACGGCACTGAGAATAATAGATCCTGAAATCACAGCAGAAAAGAAGAGTGGGTCTGATAAGGGACGATCGGCATCTGAAAGGGTTTGAAAGGCTTCAGTAACGATATCTGTTTCTTGAAAAATTATATATAAATATGTAATTTAAGTTTTTATAGAAACATGTATCAGAAAATGAAAATAAAATATGTATAATTTATATTTAAAATATGTATAATTTATATTTAATATATATATATATATATATATATATATATATATATATATATATATATATATATATATATATATATATATATATATATATTTAATTTTATATAGCTACGTACATGATTTAGGCATACTTACAGCTAAAATAAAAAAAGATGTTTTTTTTAACTCACCATTTACTTGCTTTGAATTAATGGTTCTTTTGTTCAGACTGTTGATACATTTACCAGTTATACATGTTTCTAACCATTCTGGAAAAAAAAAAATAAGAAATAAAAAAAAAGTATAATCTAGACAATCAAATAAACAATCAAACATATGCAAAACCAACAAAACCAGAAAAAGGAAACTTTGTAAATGCATAAAAAAAATTTGTCTTTAGACATCAAAGTAAATAATGGATTCAATAGATTTACCCTGTTTTCTTTTATTTATGGTGCATTCGATATACATGTTTTTAGAACTGTATCCGCAGTCAGGATTTTTCTTGCTTTCTAGCTTTAAAATGATATCAGTGTCGTATTTGATGTGTATTCTCATATAGTTATCCTCCCTCGATGTTTCTTTTACAACACAGTCTTTGGAACATTCTGTGATATTTCTTAAAGATAGGCTTTCTGAAAGATGTAAGAACATTGCTTAAACATTTTGATTTGTTATATCTTGTATGATAAATTTCTTCTGAAATACCTAGAAAAATCTAACAAACAATTGAACTTCCACATGTATATACTAAGTAGTTTAGGCTATAAAATGCTTATTTACTTTCAAAGCTGGATAAACATGTTGTGGTGTCAGTAATAACTTTGTAAAAATCTGTGGCTCTTTCAATACACTGTCTGAAATATAATATATATCGTTGGATCCTAACCATGTTATTTTCTCAAAATATAAAAGTTTGTCATATTTACACAAATTCAAAATGTTATTGAAGCGTCATGCATTTAATTTTTATTTTGCAAAGATATATGTGTACATTAACAAATGTAAAATTAATGCTTACAATTTGGAAAAGGTGGCAACAGGATAGCACAGGGCAGATAATACTACCAATTGTCCAACAACTGTATCAAATCAAAGCAACTATCTATATCAATGTATTTTCATTATATTTTTTATTGAAATGCAAATAACTTTGTCATTGACATTATATATTGGTGTAAAATTAAGGTCTTACAATGATTTTAAAAATATCATTCAATTTTGATTTTAAAAATCCCGACAATGACTTTTGTCTGCAAATTAAGAATTAGCTTTAAATAGAAAAGAACATACTCGGGGCTTACTTTTTCAAAATATTAATTCTTTGTCTTATCATGAAGAAAAAAATAACACCGTAAATATAATGCAAAAAAAGCTTTTTTCTCCAAAACTTTAAGATTAAAGGACTATATAGAAACAATGTATAGTGAAATGCATAAAAACATTTCTTTTCCTAAAACATAATGAAGAGAATCCGGATTAAATTCCACTCGTTATTTATGTAAATAAAAAAAATCCTTACATCTTACAGCCTTCTATATCTTAAGAATATCCGATCCTCAGCCAGGGAGGATAATTCCAAAAATTCATATTTAATTTGAAATGCATCAAAATGAAGCTTGAAAATAAATCTTTTTTATGCAACAATTTTCATTATATTCATCTTTATAAGATTAAAGGTTTTTGGAAGTCTTGGAAAAGTTCTTATAAAAGTTGACATTTGTTCCCTATAAAAGGAAAAAAAATACAGTTTTAGAAATTTTCTAGAATCCAGCCTTAGATACCAGTGAATATTAGCATGATATGAAATAAGAAGTGATTTGTGGTGTCTTGCCATGATAGCAAAAGCCTTTTACACTACGTATTATAGAATACATGACGGAAATCAGAAGACAAAAAATACCAAATAAGTGTAAAAATTATGACAATTTCTCTGAATGCCTGGATACCTACCGTATTTTAACCCAAATTATATTGTTGATCAATTTGCAATTAGAAAATGCATAGCTGATATTCCTATTCACTTTTTCTGCAAAAATATTGCAGATTTGACAATTTTCCCTAAATAATAATATTAACTTTAATCTTTAATTTAAAGAAATACTGTGGATAAATTTACATAACTTTGTTTATTCAGAGATACTTTCATGGGTATTTTTGATTACTTAACTGCTAATTTGATAAACCTGAGGATCGGACTACCTTAAACAGTCTTTTAAAACAAGAAGGACAATATTGGGTAAACATCTAAACATTTTATCATCTGATAAAATGAATAGTTGGGTATATTAAATTCAAACATTTTTTAAAATAATCTTATTTAGCAAACTTCGCTCCTCAGCGTTTCAGCAGAGTTTCGTCTTGGCATCTATTTAAAGAATTCTACATAATATTTAAGTTCTTGCAATAAATTTGGATTTTATAATGTTAATTGAATAAGACCCCATGGTTAAATTCCATAAAGAAAACATTTAGGGAGGGACTATTTTTCGTGGCGGGAGGTTGTTTTTTAAAGAAAAAGATCAATTTGTCCTCTTTCGAAGTATTCAGCATTGTTAAGTTTGGATTTCTTTTTTAGATTCAGGCTGCAAACAGAACAATGTTGTGCAGTGAAAAGTTCTATGCTGGTCCTAAATTATATATGAGATTAACTCTCATGTATTCTATCATCATATTTGGCAAATATATCAAATAACTCATGAAAATCCTTGAAAAAAAAAATTGGCCCAGTTTAAGCTGAAAATTAGCACTATTTAGTTTGAACTACGGTCGATACAATGAACTTGTCAGCAAATACAATTTATCATTGAGTCAAATGCTGACTGACGATTTTCATACTAATTGTTAGTCCATTATTTATACACTGAATTGACTACGGATTTTCCCGTTATTTTCCGATCATGACAAGGAGCACACGGAGGGTGTGACCGGTCGGCAGAAGAGCTTCTCCATGGCACCTGATCCCACCTTTGATGTTTTGGAGATCCGTGTTTGCTCTGCCCCTATTTTGTAGTGTTTTAGGGACTTTTGATCTTGAATAGTGTTCGTTATCTCCATATGTTTCATCTTAAAAATAACATCACAGACCCCCACTTTTTATTTCATTTTCTTAATAGATAAGCTAATTATAACCACTCGGTTAAAATTCAGACACATGTCATTACTTTCAAATGATTTTATTGCTTTCTAAATTTTTAACTCCAGAAAATTATATTTATTTTGAAAATATTGACAAAATCTTACCATTTTTCCTCATTGTTTTTTCCTCAGTGTTTCATTGGATCCATATAGAAATATAAAGTTATAATCTAGAAGTAGTTATACCACTTAATATAATGCTTGTATAATATACATGTACATGTATATATATCATTCTAAGTATACTCCATTAGTGATATATACTCATAAGTTTGAATGACATCCGCTGACAAAACAAAGGATTTTTCTTTTTGTTTTTTTTTAAATGAATAACAATGAAATATGTTTTATCAAAATTAATTGTTATATGCCAGTATCCAACAGTGATTAATAAAAAATGATATGTGCAAGCGTGTCATGACCCCCCCCCCCCCCCCCCCCCAAATAAAAAAAATTAACAACCATCATGTCCTCTATGTGACAAGAAATTCCACTTTATTGCCGGGTTCATATTGATTTAAAAATTTAATTATTGTATACTATATTTTAGACTTACAGCACTATCACAGAAGCCCAGAAAATGACTAGCATGTGTCAGTGTCCTGACTTAATATGAGTATGGTATGTATGGGGATACCAAACAGCAATCTATAACTTAAACGTCTAATGAAACAATACAAATTGGAAGGAAACAGGAATCTTTGCATCGACCATTATAGAATTTGCGAACTGTTGCAGATTTTAAACAAGATCGTTAAGTAATATCCTTGTTTCATCAAACTGATTGTCAATAGCCTGCCTAGTTTAGGAATTTGTATGAACGAGAGTTATCCGGTAAAATCATGAATAAGTGTCTAGAGTGAAAAATAATCATGACTGATTATGACTGACTAAAAGAGCTTGATTTACTATTTTTATTATAAAAAGATTTTTTAAATTAATTTTTTTAAGTATTTCCAATCAAATAAAACCGATAAACGATTCCGAGTAATAAATATGTACATCAAAATTAGATACAAATTCAAAACAGTTTGATTAAGCATTGAATTCATATTTTTGGATGTCTTCGGTCCTATAACACACCTGGCCGTGCCGACAAATTGAATACCGCGCGTTAGCGCGGTATGATAATTTGTCGGCACGGCCAGGTGTGTTATAGGACCGAAGACATCCAAACATATTAATTCAATGCTTATATTTACATTCTCTAATTTTTCTTCTTCATAATTGCTTATTTTGTTAATCTTTAATGTGAATTTAGCGCCTTTCAAAACTGCCGTGGTTAATAGATGTAAGAGCCGTTTGTGACGTCAAATGACGTAAAATGACGTTGCAAAGTTAACTTACGCAAACAAACGTTGCGAGGAAAAAAGTGACAAATTAATTCTTAACGCACGTTACGTTAATGTTTACGTTAATTTTTCAGGGTTATAGTTTTTCATTTAATTGAAGTAAAATATTTTACATTTTGGTGTTCCTAGAGTATTGATATAGTTCCTACTATGTATTCTAACGCGCGGTGACAAGGTTTCGCGTGTGTTATAGTAATTTGAACGTCGTAGATTTCTAATGAATTTCATAAGGAAAATCACACTGAATGTAAATATTATACAATGATTACCATTATCACGATTTCTAAACTTAATAAGTAATGTTAAACAATTAAATAAAAATGGAAAAGAGTATTGTATTTAATATATTTTTTTTCACATTATTTAAGCATTGAATTCATATTTTTGGATGTCTTCGGTCCTATAACACACCTGGCAGTGCCGACAAATTGAATACCGCGCGTTAGCGCGGTATGATAAATTTGTCGGCACGGCCAGGTGTGTTATAGGACCGAAGACAGCCAAAAATATGAATTCAATGCTTATATTTACATTCTCTAATTTTCCTTCTTCTTGATTGCTTATTTCGTTTATTTTTAATGTGAATTTAACGCCCTTCAAAACTGACGCGGTTAATAGACGTAAGAGCCGTTTGTGACGTCAGATGACGTTGCAAAGTTAAATAACGCAAACAAACATTGCGAGGAAAAAAAAGTGACAAATTGATTTTAAACGAACATTTGTAGTATTTTTACGGTAATTTAACAGGATTATACTTTTTAATTAAATTGAGTTAAAACATTGTACATTTTGGTGTTCCCAGGTTATAGAAAATGCATATAGTTCCTACTGTGTATTCTAACGCTCGGTGACAAGGTTTCGCGTGTGTTATAGAAATTTGAATGTCGTGGATTTCTAATGAATTTCATAAGGAAAAATACACAGAATGTAAATATTCTGCATTGAAATGTCTGCGCATGGTGCATGCAGTCTGAAAAAAGCACACAAAGTCAAACATTTGATTCGGTGTCTTACCGCACATATTTATCGCTTTTTAAAAAATTAAACGAAAACCAAATAATTTATTTTAAAAAATGTGTTTTTAATTTTTTAAAGAAAAAATTCATAACAACTTTGACCCATGAATTCAAATAAATTTTTTTTAAATTAAAATAATTCTATAGCTTCTAAAGTTTGTTTAACTATATCATCTAGGCATTAAAAGTTTACTTTCATTGATTCAACACCTGATTTCCGATAAATCATCCAAGAATTATATGCAAAAATTACAATGGAGTTGCTTACTTTAATCTCTCTTTTAATCTGGACAAAGGGTTGATATTTACGGAAAAATTACTTCAGCATCGGGCGACATAACACTCCAGGGCTTCCATGTCACCTTGGGGCAAATATTCTGGTATGCTGCCCTCGAAGCCATTTTAGATATGTATAATGTTCCAATTTTAGTATGAACATAAAGTAGAGAATCAGTGCTTTCATTTTCCTATAGAAAAATTTTCCTATAAGAGTCCATTTGAGAATTTTAGAGAAGAAAAATAGTATGAGAATAGCCTCGAAAAAATAAAACATGTTATGTAGTCCTCAGAAACAGACCTATCATTTAATAGTTGTATATTCTAGATCAGAGGTTGTGCTCTATATTAAATATCGACAAGCTAATCCAGAGAATGTGTTTCCAGCTCTTAGGGAAAAAAAGAAGAACATGCCCCTGAATTCGTAGAATTATTAAATGTATACATGTGACGTCGCGCATAGCATTAGGGTTCTAAATTGCGTAACTTGTTACACTGTAAACGAATGGCGTTAGTATTTTTGGTCATTTTATCGTTTTGGCCTTTTGGATCTTTCTGCTAATTTGTATGAATCATCTATAACGTCCTGTGATGATGTCCAATAAAATTCATTAATAAATTTCCGAAATTGACCAGTTCCGACTGTTAGTAAAATTTGAAATATTCCGTAACATGACGTAATTTTGACGAGTAACAAGAAAAGATGGAATGTTTGGTTAATCTTTTTTACTATATAACATGTTCTTTTTGGTAAAACTGAAGTATAAATGAAAGGTGCATATCAAGGAGTAGTCAAATATTTCTTTTTAGAATTATAAGCAAGTAATAGGAGATATTGATAGAGCGATTTTGATGTCTAGTTGGTTTTGTTACTACAACACAAATATACAAATGTTGGTATTTTACAGGACGTATGTCATTAATTCGAGCTATATTCTTTTTTTTAAATGGAAAAACTTGTTACAAATAAAATCTTATTTTTAAAATGTGCATATGAATAAAATTTTATATAAAAAAAATAGTAAAAAAGTTAAACATTTTTACGAAAACGAAAGTAAAAATTGCATGTCCAGTCTTATTTGTTAAGCCTTTAATTCTTTAACGTTTTTACGCTTAGACGACGTATGCAACAACGTCAAAAATGGATATTTGACGTTACAAAATCAGCCTCAATTCCATGCGCGACGTCATGTATATTGAAGCACTATATACGTGAATGTTCTGTAAATCATATGCAAATATAAGGTCACATTCATGTATTTATTCACGTTCAATATTGTCAAGATTTTACACAATACACGGTGTCTAATATGGCCTTTATTTAACAGTTCTAATAGATGTAATAAGAATAAAAAGTCCGCCGAATCACACGGACTTGTCACGCAGGCATATTTCATGAGGCGCGCTAGCGTTTCATGAAAAATATCCTACGTGCAAGTCTGTGGTAATCACACACCAATAATTCACACTAATTTTAAAAACATTCTTTATATTTACATTTTCAACTTTGAAAGCATAAATAATAGACTCAATATTTGAATTTCTCGCTGCACTATATCGTATACTTTTACTAGCGTTGCTGGGGCCCGTTTTACAAAAGAACTTACGACTAAGATCAAAAACGTCAGATTATTGTAAAATTTTGCATAATTGATAATTCTCTTTGAAATTGTTTGTGTAAAAATATCTTACCACATTCCTTTTAAGGAGTTTAAAATAATTTTCTATATAAAGTTAATTAAAAAGTTATATGAAGAATTAGATTTGGTCTTAAGTCGTAAATCCTTTTGTAAAATGGGCCCCTGTATTCTCATCGTGACGTCATGTTTACGTACGTTGCTCTGTGTATCTTTCTACGCGTGAGTGAAAATGGTATTCAAATAAATTTCATAGCTTGAGTTGGCTTACTAGAAAAACACAGCAAATGTAAATATAATACATTGACTAACCAGAAAATTACGACATTTTTGTTTAATACACAGTCCCCTCATGTCTAAAATTAATGATATTTAATGCATCGCCAACTAAAACTAAGCAGCGCCAGGTTTCCTCTTTGCTTAAAACATAGTTGGTTAAGTCCCAATTAATTCGAGAATTTCATCGATGCACATGCATACCATAGTTTCCCTTTATTCCTCCATAAACCTATCTCGAACACACATTAGAAAGTTATGGACAGTATTCCCACTATCATTCAACTCAAAAGACAATCTATTATCGGCAGACTATAGTGACACGTCTTTCGCTAATTAATACCCGGTACATTGTATAATATCTGCTTGTCCTTTAGTTTTGTTCTACTCGGGGCTCGATCAAAAAAGATTTCGCTTAGAAAACTCCCATTTTATTCGTACATGTATACTAAAGATCAGGGGTTATATATTTTTTTATTTTCTTCCTTCTGTTTTCATTTAAAGTCACATTACTACATCCATATAAATTAAAACTAAACTGCACCGAATCGTCATCAAATGTCGCCATTCTTCGTATGATGTGTTTACCACTTTCCAATTTTGAATGCTCGGGAAACTGCCAAAACACAGCAAATGCCTTAACAATATCCACAAGGCTTCACAGCAGACAGTGGATTACAAAAATGATAATTTTTAAGCCAATCTTGTATACATGTGTTAAATATTCTTATTTGAAATAAACCGCGTGTGTTCTCTAATGATTGATTGATTGTATATTGTTTAACGTCCCTCTCGAAAATTTTTTACTCTTATGGAGACGCCACCATTGCCGACGGATTATACTTGTCTATACTTGGCACTCAGGGCAATTGAACAGGGAGGGATCTTTTTCGTGCCAGCTCCTACTGCGACATGGGACCTCGGTTTATACGGTATCATACGAAGGACTGGTCTCCATGTCCCACAATGGTATTCGAACCCGCGAGGTAAGGATCAACTCCTTACTTCACTACTCTAGAGCAGACGCTCTAGGCGACTGTTCTCTGATGAAACCCTAGATTTTGCACATTCAAGTATAGTTAAAAAATGTTTTTATTTCATATAAAAAGTTAAGATACACTTGAATATTTTACATAATCATTTGCTGAAAATTTCAGCTTCGTGTGTCTATTCTTTTGGCATCATCGCTAGCAAAGGAGGACCGGTGCAGACCGAAAACCCTAGGCTAGCGAAGATGCTATTTTTTTAATTTTTTTTTTAGAAAAACGCTTTGTTCACGATTTTACGGGGCAACCCTACGTAAACCTCCTGTTGAGTTTAGAATCAACTTTCACTTAATATTCAACTGATAATTTAAAAAAAAAAACCTGCTAGACAAGGAAAGAACTTATTTAACGAAATAAAAGTTTAAGAAATTACAATTATCAAAACGTTGTAACTATTTGGTAATAAAATATGTCTAGTATTCCTAGTAGAACAAGTTGGCTGAGAAAATCGAGTCGACATATGCAAGGAAAAAAACCCAGCAGCAACAACAACAAAACAAAACAAACAAACAAACAAACGGTATAACAATTTATATGTACTTATAAATTTTCAGTCTTAAGCACTGCTTTATTTCTCTCTCACATGATGCCTTTAAAAATTCTTTTTAATAATTTTCTATTAAAAATTAGCATTAAGAAAATTATATCCATCACTTTATAAACCTTATAACCAAGAAACCACTGTGCATTATATTTACATAATAATATTTCATTGTGACAAATATATGGACTCCATGAAGAATATTCTTGAAAAATTATGCGATATCATAAAAAAGTTTAATAAATTGAAAATAAGCCTACGTTATTTTGTAAGATTTTTTTTCAAGAGTAAAATATGTACTCGAGCACTCGGGGGATATTTCGTTACAGCTCAATCCTCCAGGGTTAACCTGCAAAGTTTGTTCCTTTTGATGTGTATTGTCTTTAAATTCATCAACACCTTTAGCATTTTCATCAGATAAGGCATTTTCTGGTTTTTCTCCATGACATGATAAAACCCGCATAGTTGAATAATGTCTTTGTTCTCTTTCTGGTTTGGACTCATTATTTTCTCGTAAATGGTTATAAACATCTTCATCATGGACATCTTCATACACAGAAACTGTCTCCAATTCCTGCTGAGATGTTCGAATGTGCTCACCGGAAAGGTCCTTAAATTAAAAAGAAGTTTATTAAAAATAAAAGACGGTGAATACAACCTTGTAACACTTTTATATATACTGAGTTAAAAAGAATTGACATGATAGTGACAAAGAACCGACTCTGTATGGATGGCTAACTTAATTCCGACATATTTATTAATAGTCAGTTTCTAACATAATAAACCACGAATGATGAGATATACATGTAATAACAGGTTAAAGCTTTGACAACAATGCATATTTAAGGAATGACTGTCTTATTTTTCGATTTTATGATGTGATCAATCGAGTGGCTTGCGTGATGATTTGCATAAATGCCGAATGCGTTTATGCATAAAATTATCACGCAAGCCAATCGATTGATCATCGTCATGAAAATGAAAAATTTGAGGGTTATTCCTTCTTTTTACATGCTTTTGATTCCGCCAATCCACGTGCTCCAAGCCCTGCTTCTGTCTAGCTATATGTCCCGCCCTGCACTTTTTTTAACCGCGCCGATTGACATAGATGGGGAAATAAATAGAGGATATTCAATGTTTTGTAGTTGAATATGGAATTTATTTCACGAGTGGGACAGGATTTTTGATATTTTCACGAGTGCGAAGCACGAGTGAAAATATGAAAAAATCCTGTCTCACGAGTGAAATAAATTCCATATTCAACTACAAAACATTGAATTTTCTGTTTATTACATTCTTAAAAAACAATTCTTTGATTTTTTCCTTTGCCACTGTCTTTTTGTAATACAGTCATAGGCTTGTGACGTCATAGTTGAGCGGTTGAGACGTCATAGCTATGTGAGGTGAAAACACTGTAAACATGGATTTAGCAACATATTTTGGGTAATTTTGACAGTTTTATTCGTTGTCAGAATGGTTTATTTATTTCCTTCTATCAAATATTAGGTCAAGGAAGAATTGTTTACAGCAATCTTCGTTACTGGAATGGAAATCGAGAGTTTTCCCGCACTTCTGATATTCGTCACACTGTGACAGGATATCATTTTGATATCCTTTCACACTGTGACAGGATATCATTTTTATTCAATGAATAAATTCCAGTATTTCACGGGTAAAAATGTAATAAAGTGCATTAACTATTTGTAAATTCGTCTCGGACATGACATTGGAAATGTACATATTGTGAGATGAACGCAAACATCAATATGCGGCAGTAAATGAGCGTTAAATTGTGTACATTTATTTGTTTTAAAATTTATTTTAAAAATAATTAAAAATAATGTTTTATTATGACGATGCAAAATGTTTTTCTTAGCCATAAAATTTTCAGCAAAAAAAGTGACCAAAGTGGTCAAACTACTTGACATTTATATTTTGCAAATTGCCATAGGAAATTTTTAATACATGTATTGATGTCGATAGAGGTCTTTGGCGAGCGCTAGACAGAAAACCAAAAATGTGATATTAATATCGACACTATTCGAGTTCTCCATTATAGTTTCAGGAACTACACTGTACCACATGGTGGGAACAGAACAATTATTAACCTTTAAAATCTGCATTTATTATACAGCGCTAAGGTAGAATATCTGGAAATGTTTCATTTATAAAGCACATGTTGTTCAGAGGAGTTATAATGAAAATAAAGTAAAGGTTACTCTCGGTATTGCAAGAGAAACTTTCATATTTAACAATATCTGATAAAAACGGATATTAATTGAGTTTTTTCGTCATGAATTTTATACATAGTATATACAGTATACATGTACAGGTACTATTCATTACCGTTACACCGACGTTAAACAATGGTACAAAAACATCTTGCAATGAAATACAGAAGACCAACATTGTTAAAGTTAAAATGTGCATCAGGAAAAAGAAAAAAAAAAAAAGCTTGAGTCAGATAGAGTGAAACACATCTAAACACATTGATTTGTTTATCTAGACTGCTTATTTAAAAATAGCATTGGTTTGTAACTGAAGGCAGTCTAGAAAAACAGATGTGTTTTCGCTCCATCTGACACAAAGTATCTAACTACTTTATAATTTAAAAATTGGTGCCATGACCAGGATAACAGTTACTATGTAAAATGGATCTATCCAAATTGAGAACAGTCTAAATAAACATGTCAACGTGTTTATCTAGCTATATAGACTGCCTTCAATTTGGATTCATCCTTACCTTGACTAAAGCTTCAGGGACTCCACTGTTGTTACAATTTTTTCTCTCGTCTTCTGTCAGTGATTGAAATATCAGACTCCATCTTCTACTATAATCAATAAATTTAATCATTTTGTTTAAGATAACAATATACCGACAGTTTATGAAAATTATTCTTATGTGGTTTTAATCATTATTTAAGAAATAAATAATAAGTTTATAAACTTCAATGGGAATTGAAGTGGGTTGGTCACGTGATCAAATCCTGTGAAGGCCGAAGACCTTCTCAGAAGATTTGATCACGTACCGACCCACTTCAATTCCCACTGAAGTTTATAAACTTGTTATTTATTACTAATATATACATTTGAGGTGGACAATTAAACATTAAATTAGATATATTCGGATATAGATATTGCACTAACCGGTCGCCGTAGATTTCCGTCAAAAGTACGCAAGGTGTAAATCGGCTTGAAAGGCGGTTACGCTTTGAATTCGTCAGGCTAAGAATTCTATTTCCAGGGGCATCCAGCAATTTTTGAAAGGGGGGGGGGTTCCAGGGTTGTTCCCCTCTTACCCCCCCCCCCCCCCCCAAATACATACTCTCAAGCAAAGATTCACAGACTTGTATGGAAATATCTAAGGTTGTGCTAAATACTATCTTTGTTTTATGGCTTTTTTTTTTTTTTTTATAAAATGCGTACCTCCAGTACGAACAAAACAACAAATACAAAATAAACAAAACAACCCCCCCCCAAAAAAAAACGGATTTGTTATGTATCATTTCCGAAGAGTATAAAGAATTTTAAGAATTTGAAAAACTTTTTTTGGGATGGGATGCAGGTGGGCTTTAAAACAGAGTTACATGTTAGTTCCTTCAGTAGATCTAGATATGATAAAAAACGGTACAAGTATAGCCAACACATCCAAAGATCGCGTGAATCCAATTTTATATTAAACTTCGCATGCTACATACAAGATCTAGATATATAAAAATAAGTAGAATATTTTCTACCATTCTCTCATAAAAAAGTATAAGAGGAAACTTAATGTGTGAGAATCTCTGTATTCAATAAATAAGTGGGACGTACAAATACAAATGTATATAATCTCGGAAAATGTTTTATACCCTCTCACTCTCCAAAAAATAAAGGGGGAGGGGGGTTCCAACCCCCGGACCCCCCCCCCCCCTCTGGATCCGCCAATGATTTCGAAGGGAATATTTTGTTAAAGGCTACTTGTGATCAGTAGTAGTGAACAAATTTCTGTCTGGGAATATTTTTATTTGTGAAAATTGATAATTAATGCTGAAAAGACACAAGAAACACGTCCAAGGATTGATGATAAAAAGTTTGAGGAATTTCGGTCGCCAGAAACGAGTGAAAGGGATAGATGGATCCGATGGATTGAGACACTTGTCCGAGACAGTTAATTTGCTATCAGGTATTAAATTTGATCAAAAACATTTAATCTACGATTTCAGTAACTAAAGGCATATTTATTATGTAAACACGGAGACACTGGCGACAGCTTACATTGAAGTACGACAGCGCCGATCGAGGTGTTTCTCAGCTGTTCGTGGCGCGATTGCATTATGCTTTGATTTCCAATAGATATACACATTTCTCGTGATTAGAATTTAATGGAAAAATATAGTTTTAGCCTATACTATGAAGATTTAATAACTTAAGATCTACCAAAAAATAAGGATAAAAGTTAGAGACTGTGCAGCTGACAAAAGTGACGTACAACTTGTAAACAAAGGCTAGTTTCTATCGATATATTCTCTATGTACACAGGTTAAATGAAATCGATCGCCAAAAAATGCATGAAGTACTTGTTTACATTGTAAATAAAACAATAAATATTATTTCACTTGCTTATTTCGTTCATTTTTATACATGCAAACTATTTGAAAAGCAAGTCATTTCATATTTATAAGTAACGGTAGATATTATTGCGCCGTGTGATTCGGCCATATATTGACCTCTGACCTCTGACAAACTTCATACAGAATTGAAGATATTTTCTCTCTGTATATTTATATAATGGAAAGATACCACAAATGTATATATTTAAAAATTAAGGATTTTTCCAAAATAGATAATTTTTCAGAAAAAAATAGTATTGTTATAAATTCTATTTTCTTGAATTAGTACACTGAACATGCAATATTATAATTTCGATAATTTACCAATTATTTTTATCTTTCAAACACATTGTTACGATAGAACCGACAATAAGTCCACCGAAGATTGCAACACATATAATTAGAGGGCTAGTATTGACATCACATGCAGACCATTGAACTGTTCCTGAAAAAATGGAAGATTTCATTTCTTGGTTCTTCAGTTTGTGACAAAGTAAAAAAAAAAACATGTCATTTATACAGAACTTTAAGCCTTAAAAATTTGTCATAACCTTTTTGTTCGTTGGAATGATTTCCATAGATACATTTGCTTGTAATGCAGCTTTGAAGAGACTCTGAAGTTATAGATAATGCAGATAAACAATTAAATTTCAATATTACAAATTTGTTCAATGAAAAACACATTTTTCACAAGTTTCTCAATTCATGATACACTCACTTTGTGTATGAAGATTAATGGTACACTGTAGAACGATATTTGTTCGATTGTATCCACATTCAGTATTCTTCTTATCTTCTAACCGTACAATATCTTCGGCACCATATCTTAGAATTATTTTAACATAACCATCTGCTTTTTCTGACTTTTCTTTTGAACAAATTTCAGAACAGTTTTTCCCTAGGTTTCTCAGGAAAAGGTCAACTGAAAAAAGAAAAATAAAGTGTTTTTCACGTATGTGTTCTTGCTTTAGAAAGGCTTTCATTACTAAGGGTCATCTACCTAAAGTTATACATCGCTAAAGCTTAAATTCTATCCTTCTTTAAGGAAAAAGAAAACTTACTTGAAGAGTTGGACACGCAACCTGTTTTATTTGCTATTTCTCTGTAAAAATGTGTGGCCCCCTGGATACAATTTCTGAAATCCAAAATATATATGTACAGTAGTTATAAATGTGTTTTATATTATTCGATTAGTAACATATAATACTATATTCAGAGTCTACCACTAGATGTTTCAGTTTTAATTTAAAAATGTTACTTATATAAAGAGCAAAATCTACGCAATTAGATATTCTTTGGCATATTCATACTTATTAGGGAATTAAAGCTTTGAAATATTAAAAGTGGAAATAATAAATAAGACCCCCCCCAAAAAAAAAAAGAATAATGTTTTTAAAAAATACAGCTTAACGTTTTGAAAAAATAAACAATTTTTCTAAAGTACATATTTTATATACATGTTGCAGATTAACATTGCCAATCACTTAAATCATTTTTTTATGTTCCTTAGTTCTCCTGCCAAACGAATGATCTTGTTTTTGTTAAAAGCATCTATTTAATCCCTATTCCCTATTTCTGCATATACATGTAGTCAAAAGGAAAAAAAGTTACGAAAGATAATACGAGTAAGCACGAAATATGTGGATAACGAAGAGTATTCATGCTCAAAAGTCCATCAAATACTACAAAATAGGAGCGGAACTCCAACTCATCAGAGGTGGAATCAAATGTCATGGCAGAGTGAGCATCACTGCCGACCGGTCACATCCACCATGTGCTCCATATCATGACCAGGAAATAACGGAAAAAAATTCAACCGTTTGGAATCTCAGTGTGTAAATTGTGGCCTAACAATCAGTATGAAAAAAGTCAGTCAGCATTTTATAACTTGTATTTGGTGTCAAGGTCATTGCATCGACCATAGATTTTACGAAATTATGACCAAAAACGAGACTGCTGTTATTCTTGTTTCATCAAATTGTTTGTCAACACCTTGCATGCTCTTCCATATCAAACAACTGAGAGATATGAACTCCGTATACAGGTGACAAAGGTATATTGCTGCAATAGTAAGGAAAGATGACGATTGAAAAGTTAATGTCATCACGCTTATCATAAATATTGCTAGATAACTATTAATGTCTTTTTCCAGTAAAAGATCGACACATAAAACAGATGTGTCAGACTCTGTGATATCTTTTATTTCAAGCTCACCGGGATATTTCGTGTCGACATAAGAATGGAAATTAATAATTAAATTTACATCGTCGATATATCTAAATCTAGAGTTGAAGGATACTTTACATGTAAAAGATTTCGAACAAATTTTGCTTAATATTAATACAAAAATAGGTCTGCTAATAACGGGGCGGAATTGGTACCCTAGGGAAATTCCTAAAGATTGTTGGGAGACCTGGTCTCCAAAAAAACCACACAAATATTGTCAAACAGAAACTTAGGAATCTTTCTAATATCAACTTCAGAGTACAATTTATGTGTATGCAATGTATTATGCGTAAAATCAAAATGTTTTAATAAAGAAATTTCGCAACTGACCAATGACAAGGTATGTAAATTTACGAATTTCATTTTTATTGAAAAGCAGCTGTAAATGATAGAAAGTATGAACTATACTTAATCATGCAGAATAGTTGTAATTAAAATTGACCAGTCGAAAGTTTTTATGATGTTGATTTTGTTTAAAAATTTGTGTTTGTTCCACAAGTTGGAATTATTTAGCATCCACATTTGATTTACACCACTTCTCGAATATATTGTTGAACAGTAGTGTTAAAGTTTTCCCTTCCCTAATTGCAAATACCAATGACATTTATTGAAAAATTCTTCAAAAAAGGATTATGTCGCGGGTGGAACGTGGTATGTATAAACCAAGACCCCGTGTCGCAGTAGGTGCTGGCTCGAAAAAGATCCCTCACTGCTCCAAGGCCCTGAGTGCCGAGCATAGGACAAAATTTGTAGCCCTCCACCGGCAAGTGGTGGCGTCTCCGTATGAGTGAAAAATGCTCGAGACGGACGTTAAACAACATACAATCAATCAATCAATAAAAAAGGATTTATTTGATTTTTCATCGGTCCAAATTGTTTTTTTTTTTTCATTCCGAAAAGAAAAAATTCCGTCGGAGACGAGGCAATTCTCTTAAGGGGATGAAGGACCTTTAGCTGAAAAAATACCTGTCATTCAATTTTTTTTTCATATTTTGTATATCTCTTATTCAGTATGTCCCACATACCATAAAGCAGATATATCAATAGGTTTGTAGATTTATTTCTGAGATATTGGGTGACAAATACTATGCCCCACAGTGTCTGAGTGAAGTTTTGATTCTCCGTATTTCTAAGCCCATTACTAGGTCCATAATGGAATTTTTTCAGCATAGATAAAAAATATGTCAGCGAACATGTGTCTTTTAAAATATTTCAGAGTATGAATAGGGTTAAAAATTTGAAAAAGCAAGATTCCTTTGTCACACCAGATCTGGAGACGGAAAATAACGTTCTTTTTAAGACAACTTAAACGACAAAAAAATTAATTTACAAAAAATCCTATCATTCAATATTTGAAAAATTTCGTCGAAATGCAAGTTCGTCATGTTATTGATTAACTGCAAAAATATCGATTGGTGAAGCTGAGCTCAATATTGCACAGGGCATAGTTAAACAAGACATGAGCATGAGAAAAACGTGTCATGTTTACATTTCTCGAGTACGGGAAAAGCCTACTATGACGTCACACATTTGCGAAATAAGCTAAGTAAGACAAAACTACAATATATTTCCGTCAATAACCAAGTAAAAATATTTTTTGTGTTCTGTAATTCATAAAATATCCCACAATTTACTGATCATGACCCGTTTTTATGATATTATACTACCCGTGTTATACCTTGTATATAATTTTACTGTACTAAGATCCACTATGACATCAGCGACTCGTTGGAAGCGCAGTGTAGGGAAACAGAAGAGTGGATCAATCTATTCCGTGATTTGAAAATATTTGCAAGAAAGTTTGAATGTTTTTAGATATTTTTATACAAGATGGTGAACTCAAACAAACAGTATTTTTTTTTCAAATACAGTGGTTTCAATCTGGTTTTGTACATATTTTATAAGAGATTATGACGTAATTAAACTGAGTCACGTGACCATACATCCTTCGTCCCCTTAATAAAAAACGAAAGAAAAATATTTTGAATTAATACTTACATATCTGCGTTGCAGCAGTCAAGATGATTAGACATTACAAATGCAGCTGCTACAATCTTCAGGACAACTATGAAAGGTGTTTATATTTAAACAACAAAACCACTATTTCAATGAAATTCGTGTTCTCCTTAATTTACATTTTTCAATTTCTAAATGTAGCAGATATATACGAGATGGCATGGTTAACTTTTTCCAATGTTTTAAAGAAAGCAAAATTATTCTTTACCCGATTTCATCTCGGCTAGCTCAGTTTTTCCTCTTAAATCTTAATCAAGACTTGTATAAGGAAACATTTGCGGATGCATGAGATCATCCTGATTAGTTGTTTTATTTAAAAATATATTATATAATATTTATTTTCCAAAAATGAGAAAACACTTATGTCTCAAATAAAAGACCGAAATCCTTTCCGATAAATAATACATAGTAAATTCTATAACCACTTCATGATGTTTGTTTGAGTTATGTTGGCATTCCATAATGTTGTTTTCTTAGACTGATTTCTAAATATTTTAATTGCTGCTTCAAATCATATAGAAAAAAGTATTATGAGCGAGCAACTTCCAAATCAAGACAGATCCCCGAAAAATACGATGATGATTCAACGGAACTCATCATATCTCATTTAAAGTCAATGCTTTACAATTTTATGGTTTGCAGGGATGGTAGGGAATGCTTACTCCTCCATGGCAGCGGATCCCGTATCTGATATTCCCTGTTTGATTGACTCTCAATTAGTATTGTCCAATAGGAATTTTCAGCATGAACACTTAGTCTAGCTATATGTTATTTTCGCATTTCATTCTTTTCAATGTGAAATAGTATTTACTCTGAAACTTTCCTTGTAACAATTTAGCAAATAGCACAATGACAGAGAGTAGTGATTGAAATTCTGGTATAAATTGTTGAATAAAGTTATTGTGGGAAAAAAATCTTAACCCATTTAACAAAATATCGACCATTGGTTATTTTAGATGTTATTTAAACGACTATTGTATTTAAAGAAGGAATTTATAAACTACTGTTGAAACCTGGGTTGAGACAATTTATTTTAAAGGGGCTTGGACAGTTTCAGCTAAAATTTTAAAATTCATTTTTCCATTTTTACAAATATTTAACTAGGGTCTTTATAATGACCATCAAAAATTTGAACATCAGTTGTCGAGATACAAGACAGATTTAGAGCTCTAAACCTTTGTTATGTAAACAATGTCCGTGTCA